AGTCGTTGCTTAAAGAATCCGGTCAGGGGGAATCCTGCATTCCAAGGCAGCCCATTCCATTTTTGGATACCTCTAACAGTTAAGTTGTTTTTCCCTTATGTCAAGTGTAAATTTGTCTCTTTCCAGTTTCCACTTATTGTTCTTACTTCTGCCTCATGAAGTCAAGCAAAATCAATTTCACCTATTTTCTATGATGCAACCTCTCAAATACTTGAAGACATTTCTCATGGCCCCCTAAGTCTTCTCTTTGCCAGGTTAAACATGGCCAAGTCTTTCAACCAATTCTCATAAGGCACAATTTTCCTATATCATAGCTATATGCTTGTACTACTCCAGATGTTCTCCAATTTATCCATGTCTTACTTAAAACACATCACCCAGAATTAAACATAATACTCCAGATGTGATCTGACCAGAGCAGAGTATAGCAGGACCATCAGTTTCCTAGTTCTAGACACCATATCAAAAGGTCTAAATGCTACCTCAAAGCTCACTTGCTTTCTCAGCCACCATATTACACTGCTATCTCACACCAAGCGTGCAGTTCACTCAAAGTCCCAAATCTTTGTCAGACAAACTGCTCTCTCCCCGCGTTTCTCCCATCATGTGCTTGTGAAGCAAATTGTGAACCCCCAAATAGGACTTTACATTCATCCCTATTAAATCCTATCTTCTTAGATTCAGTCCAGTGTTCTTCAGGGGTCAGCTAACTGCAGCCCAAGAGTCAAATCTGGACAGCTTCCTGTTTTTGTACTTCCCATCAGCTAAGAATGGTTTTTACATCTTTAAATGCAATAAATATTTACTTTTAAAATGTAAATGCCCTTCTTAGTTCCACAGTTTGCCAGTCCCTGCTAGCTTGTCATGCTCTTTTTGTATCCTCATCTGTTATGCAGTGTTAGTTACTTCTCTTAGTTTGCATCATCTGTAAGTCTTATAAGCATTCCTTCAGCAAAGTCATTGACGAAAACATTAAACAACACAGGGCCAAACACAGATCCTTGGTCCACTCCCCTAAAGACATCCTTCTAAGCTCACATCTACCTAACTATGCTTTTGTCTAGCCTACATCTCTCCATCTTTTCCACAAGAATAACATGAAAGATATTTATCAAATGCTTAGCTAATCCCTAGGTAAACTCTACACCATTCTCTAGTTCTACCTGCCTGGTGACTCCATCATGAAAGATAATGAGGTTAACCTGGTACAACCTGCTTTTGATGGAACTTCCTTTCCAGGTATTCACTAACCATCTCCTTAACAAGATCTTCCATAATTTTATCAGGACTCAAAGTCAAGTTCATTACCTTATACTTGGCAGCTTCTTTTCTCTTCTGTTTAAAAAAAATCAAGATGTTGGTCCTTCTCCAATCATAATGTATTTAATCTCTCTGATCTTTGGTTTCCTCATGCACAAAATGGGATTAACAATACCTGCACTAACTCTCAGAGTTATTGTGAAGAAAGTGCTTTGTAAATCATAAAGAACTATACAAATATGAACTATTACTATTTTCATTAAGACTATAATGTACTCAGCTAGGAGAAGCAGAGAGAACATCAAATGGAAAAAAAAAAACTTTGTCTGAAGTATCTCTGATAAGGGTCTGATATCCAACATATGTAGGGGTTAATACCACTTTATAAGATCAAGAGTCATTTGCCAATGGATAAGTGGTTAAAAGATTCTCAGAAGAAGAATTGCAAACTGTTAATAGTTATATGAAAATTTGTCCAAATCACCAAAAATAAGATAAATGCAAATCAAAAAATTCCAATGTCACTTCAAACCTAGCAAATTGACAAAGATGATGTAGGAGGGCCTACAGACAGATAATTACACTAATATACATTGGTGGAGCTATATTAGTCCAATCATTTTAGAAATTGATTTGGAATTACGCTTTTAAAAAGTATCTTTAAAATATCCATACCTTTTAATCTAGAGATCCCACTACTAGATATGTATTCCAAGGAGGTCAATGACAGAAAGAAAGTTCTCATACATACCAAAGTATTCATGGTAGCACTTTTTTGTGGCAGCAAAGAATTGGAAACAAGGTAGATGTCCATCAAGTAGGAAATGACTAAACAAGTTACAGTACATAAATGGAATGAAGTAGGGTCATCAGATCCTCTCTTGGATTAGCCATATAGTTCAATAGAAGTGAAGAGGCTAGTCCAAGGTTGCATAGCTAATAAATATCAGAGACAATATTTGAACGTAGGTCTTCTTGATTCCAGGTCCAATGCTGTACCCACTACTCTGTGTTACAAGAATTGTTGAAAATGAAGAATTCAGAGAACTATAGGAAGTCAAATAAACTATTGCAGGGTGAACTAAGCAGAAACAGGAAGGCAATGCCCATAATGACTATGGTTTGCTTGCTGGGTAAGGGAGGAGAGAGGGTTATATTTGGAAATAATGGTCACATCAAACAAAAATATCAATTTCAACATTTAAAAGACAAGCAGGCTCACATTTTAATATCTGCTTTTTACTACTAGAAAAACTTACACACAAAGGACCTAAGGAATTTTCAGCTGTCATATTGGAAATCAGCACCTGAGTTAGGAGATAAATCTATCAAATTCAGCAATTTCTATGCACTCCTCAATGGGACTTTGGACCCTAGAAAGGTGTGGAGTTATTGCCTATGGTAAAGGATCTGCAAATACAAACTCAAATCTCTCAGTGAACACAAATACTGCCAGTAGAATGCATACATCTGAAATGGTTTGTTTTGTTTTGTTTTTGTCTTTCTATTCTCAGTGGTCAGTATTATATTTAGCATATGGTAAGCATTTGAGAAATACTTCCTGATTGATTTATTACACATTGCTTGATCGACTACATATATTTATATTACTATTTCTCTGCTTATATAGCTACTATTGGGGTTAATGAAACACAAATTCATTTAGAAGCAATACTTGAAATCTTTGGAAAAGAGTCCTCATGCACTATAAAGGTTGGGAACCATTGTACTCAACTATCTTGCCTCCTTCCTTAGAAACAGAGATGTGAATCTAGTGCCATCTATTTTTCATCCCTCCCTTCTTTCTCTTCCTGCCTTCACTCCTGTTTTTCTTTCTACCATTCAAATCCTAGGTAGCAAGATAGCTAAAGTCTATATTGAAAAACTTAAGTACTCAGACCTACATTAAGGTTGAGTTCCCAAGAAAGCAATTTAATATTTTGGAAGAGAATTTAAGCTACTTACAAGTTTGAGAGGAGGGGTATTTAGTACATTATATAGAAAAGGTGCTGCTAATTGCAAATTATTTTTATAAAACAAAACAAGTCCATGAAGTACACTAACTGGGAAAACAGCTGACCATTAGCTATTTGTGAACTTGAAAGTATGACAACTGCATGTCTTAAAGAAGATTCTATATTAGTGGACTCTACAGTAGTATAGTGGAAAAGTATGTTGAATTTAGGGTCTAAAGGACTTGGGTTCAAATCCTGACTGTGCTTATTACCTCTGCGACCCCAGATAAATCATTTGATCTCTCTAGGCCTCAACTAGATCTGCAAGATATAGGGGTTGGGCCAGATGGTTTGTACGATTCCTCCCAGTTCTATACCTAGAATATTATAATCAAGGGGTTCTTAACCTTTTTTTGTGTCAGGGACCCCTTTTCAAAACAGTGCTTTCAAATTCAGAAAATAAAAGACATAGGATGATAAAAGAAACCCATTTTATTGAAATGAAGATGCATTTTTTCTTCTTATTCAAGTGTACAGACTTCCTGAAATCTATCCATGAACCGCAAGTCCTCTATTATTCATGCTTTTAACACATTCAGATTGGTCTCATTAGTATGAACTGGCAAGATTTTCTTGATTACTCTTTTAAAAAAGTCTGTCCCCTACCCCTTTGTATGTGAAAATGGTGCTCTAACCACAGCCAACTGTATTCTGAATCTGATCGTAAGCATTCTAAAGAAGAGATAATAAAAGAGGGCAAGAACAGAAATTGATTTTCCCTTTCTTGCATCCACTCTTCCTGCTCAAATTCTGTATTTATTTATTGAACAAAATTTCATCCATCAGTACCCAGTGATACAAGACTTTCCTGCGTATTTCTCCTTAATTCTTCCAAATGAGATATCTCAAGCTATACAAGGTCCTTTCTCACTGCCAGCTTTGTTCTCAGGCCAGCTGATCTTTCTGGAGAGCCTCAAATTCCTTCCCTTAGTTCATGTCCTTTGTGTGTCAGTTTTCATGACAGACTCTCTAAGTTCACTATTGTGCAATGAGAATTCCACAGTACAAATGTGTTTCCCTGCATGAATGTGACTGTGATTTTTAAAAAACCCAGTAACAACAAAAAAAATTCCAACCCTTGATAAACCATCCAGCATGCTGTCTCCTCACTCCTATACCTTTCTGAGCTGCTTTTAGGTTAAGTTCTGAGCTCTCAGCTCAGTTCCCTTAGAGGTCCTGAAACAACTAGTAGCAGGAATCTAATGTTTAATTAATTTTGAAATAAATAACAATTAAGTTTTCCCACTGCTTCTGTGAAAAAAGATATAAAACATTTTAGAAATAAATTAGACTAGGCCATTTTAAAAATTTTAATTTTCACTGTCCAATTATGCCAGTCACCTCTCTTATCCCTTCCAAAAAAACCCAATAGACTTTACCTGTAATCATTGTTTTTTACAAGCATGCTTTGTGTAAGAAACAAAGTTATAACTAGGGTGAAGCAACTAGAGCTTTTCTCCACAGTACTGACATCTAGGGAGTGCTTTTCCTCCCAAATAGGTTCACTTTCACTCTGTAGCAGTCTTCCCATTTCTTGAATCGTCTTCCAGATTTGCACACACAAAGAAACTCCATCCATTGCCACCTGGGGGTAACCCCAGGCTACACTCCCAAGGGCCTGATGCCATGTCACCCCTTTCCCAAGGTATGTCTTCACTTCAAAACCCAATAGAGATATATGCAGACTCTTTATGGAATGACATCCTATCTCTTTGCACAACTCACCTTAGGTTGGACTGCCTTCTCAGTAGCTGGTCTCCTTCCTCAAACACTCAGACTTTCTTCAGTGCACCATCCCCATCAACTGTTTTTGTGCCCATTGAAAGAATTCCTAATTATGAGTCTAGCAGCAAAATAAAAGAAACAAGCCCCAAATTCACTTCTATGAAAATAAATGATTCGAGTACCAATATGCCTCAAATACCAATCTCTCAAGTCTAGAGAGTTTCTTACATTCATTAATATTCAGAGGTAGTGATTTGACCATGCATAGCCTAAAGGAAATTTCCCAGAGTCCAGCTAATAGATCTCTGTGGCCTTCTCAATCTCCTTTAGCTAGATTTCCCTAAGGGGACAGAGGGAAGGAAGTGGCAGGTTGTAGATGCCCACTGCTTTCTCCATTGCAGCACCAGAGGGATGAACCTTTTGAATCTAATCCTATTCTCTGGGGGACTTTGCAGCTGTTTGGTATATATATACTGAAGAAATTTCCCCAGCTGTAAATTACAATGCCCTCTCCCTTTTTCAAGGTCAAATAAAATCAAAATTTCCTTCATCTTGTAAAATAATTCAGCAAAATTGCTTTCATTTGGTTTTCTAGATATGCTTTCCTTTTTTTTATATGTCTTTATCCTAACCCACTCCTTGAAATATAAACTTTTTAGAGACACAGGCATTGGTTTCTTCTACCTCTGATGTGCCTCCGAAGGGCCTTGTACAGTGCTCTGGACAAACACATGATGGATACTCAACTAATTTACAGTTTTTCAGGATTACAAGTATCATGACATCATGGTATTTAGAGCTGGAAGGATCTTAGAGATCAGCTAAAGTGGTCTAGCCGTCCCAGTTTACAGATGAAGCAAAATAACTTACCCAGGGTCAGATAGCTAATAAGTAGCAGAACTAGGATTCATACCTATGTCTTCTGACTTTAAAAAACACTGCTATTTCTATTGTGTCATACTGCCAGGCATGCACAGATCCATCCTTCCATCTTTGCCCTTCCTCCTCTCCTCAGACTAAGGATAATTTCTTGTTAAGTAAAAGGAGGACAGAAGTATCTATTTTCTCTCCTATGCTTGATCTGCCTACCCAAGGATTGAAAGCCTGGGAATTTGGACCCTGCTTCCTGATTTTTTGCCAAGTTCTACTTGGCTACAAAGTGGGAGGGGGAGAAATGAGGCCTTTATCAGTCATTTCTCTCTAAGGAAGCAAGAGAGCTAACCGCTCAACAAGTAGTGCTATCCCTTTAACCCTTTGTACTCCCGTAGCATGTATTGAGCCAAGATGGCGGAGTAAACTGCTGCAGCTCTCTCATACTCACCTCCAAACAACCATAAAACAAAGCCCCATAACAAATCCTGGAATAGCATAACTAGTAAAAAGACAGGGTAAAACAATCTTTTAGCCCAAGAAACTTGGACAATCAGCAAAAAAGGTTCATCTCACTGGGGAGAAAAGGAAGTACAGCACAGGACAGGAAGTGACCTCAGCAAACCAGTGGGAAATCCTAAGCCCCAGTGTGGTGGAGCAGGCAAACACCAACACTGGCACCCTCTATGTGCCTTAGCATAGCCAGGGGAACTGGCAGATTCCAGCTCCAAGAACCACCATGTGCTTCAGTGTAGCCCTGGGGCAAACAGGAAGCCTCCAGCGACCAGAATTCCTTGTGCTTCAGCCCAGCCCCAGGAAAACAGGTATCCAAGTCAAATACATAAGGGTATTTATTACAAAATAGATCATTATAATTATGGAATAGATCAATAAAGAGATCATTGGTAAATCTTTAAAAAGGGAAGCAAGGATCAAGACAGATCATGCCAGGGATATTGAAGTCTCCTGTCACCATTGTGGAAAGCAAGGATCAAGACAGATCATGCCAGGGATATTGAAGTCTCCTGTCACCATTGTGGACGGTCTATGTCTTCTGGTAGCTCAATTAATGTTTCCTTTATGAATTTGGGTGCTTCTACCTTCACTTCTGTCTCTTTGTGTAAGAGAATACTGACCTTTCTGCTGACACTCCATTACTATTGCTATCCTTGCTCAACGCATTGTTCACTCCTACTGAATTTTTGTTGTGTAGGGTGTTTGAGAAGCAAGTAATCTATTCTTGCCTGATTTTAAGAATGTTTTGAATGCCTCTTTATTAACATCTTTACCATTGAATGTACATCTTTTTTTTCATTTGCGATCCAGCTCAGATTTCCAGGGTAGTTCACCCTGGGCTGCATCCTGAGCTTCATTGCTCTTCAGAATATGTTATTCCATTCCTTTCTGCATTTTCTGATGGGTCTAGAATAGTCTTGCATTTTTCAAATTTTCCTTCTTTTATATTTAAAGGTCTTTCTCCTGATTGCTTGTAGAGCCTATTGTTTCTGAAGTGAATTATTAAATTTAACTACTTTATGTCTTTGAGTTTGCAGCCTTGGATTGCTTTTTTTTTTCCCCCAGAGGTGACCTATGAATTCTTTCAACTGGCATTTCATTTTTTCTGTTCAGAAATTCTGGGTAGTTCACTTGTATTATTTCTTGGTGTTCAGGGTTTTTGTCTTGTCATATTCTTCTAAGAGACCAATGAGCCTTAGGTTTTCTCTATGCATCCTGTCTTTGAAATAACTATGTTTTGCTTGGATAGTGAGCATATTTTCATTTAAATTTCTCATTTTTTTTGCTTCTCTTCTTTTTTGTTATCCCTCACTTCTGTATTTTGGCATTCCCAATCATTTTTCTCTCTTTTGTCTCTTTGGTAAGATTTGTCATAATTGATTTGCATTTTTGTATGCCATGCACTATTTGTGCTATGCAGGCCATAAATTTTACTTTCAAAATTCTCATTTCTCTTTTAAACCACTCAGGAATAACATATTGTGGTTTCATGTTCTCCTGAAATTCTACAGGATTCTCTGTCTCATCAAGTGTTGTATTATTTTTCTTTGTTTTGCAGTATTTCTTCATAGATGCTTGAACTCATTTACCAGATCTGTTTGAACTCATTTGTTAGATCTGAAGGTCATATTTCCTTCTTCTATTAATGTTTTCCCTGTTGATTTATCTGATTATATTCAAGGTCTTTGAGGGTTTTTTTTTTCTTCCTCAAATCTTTGGTAGTTTCTTTTTTTTCCCCTCCTCATTTTCCCCTATTATTCACTTTCTGACTCCTCCTCTGATGGTGGTTTCCCTGGAAGATGCATCTCAAAACATCTCAGCCACCTCCCACACTGGGCAATTCACAGTTTACCAGTCTAAATCTCTGCCCCAAGTGACTTTTGGAAGGTACAGAACTGGCCCCAGCTGGATGCTGAGCTCCTTCCCTCAGACTTAGTGAAGTATCATTTAGTTACACCACACTTAGTGTCCTGTCCGGCTGCCTCTATTCCTCTGTTCTCTGGTCTGATGCCAGAAGTTCAGAGAGCTGTCACAATGGTACTATGGGGTTGATTTCTGTAGTGTGAGTCTCTGAGGCTGAACACTATTTCAAGTCTAAACATGTATCCTGCCCCTTTACCTCTGTTCCTTTGCTCTTCTGAAGAGATCTTTTGCAGCACAAAATGCTACTACCATGGTACTGGCTGTCTGTCACAGCCCTAATAAGCTTCTGCAGCCTGAAGATTTCATGGCACTGGAAAGCAGAAAGAGGGGCTGTAGTTTGGGGGGGGTCAGTTTTATTGCAAGCCGTGACGTCAGGTCCTTGGGTTGGCTAGTACAATCTTGTTACCAGTAGTGTGGTGGGCAATAAGGGAGGACTGAGTGAGGTCAAGGTAGGTGTCAGTTTATTTTTTTAACCTTCTGTAGGTTCCAGATGTCCTAGACTATGGAGACAGCTGAAGTTGCTTTATCGTTGGCACATAATTTCTGTTTCGTAGAGGTTTGAGGAAGATAGGTGATGTAGTGGATAGAGTACTGGCCCTGAAGTCAAGAAGACTCATCCTCCTGAGTTCAAAACTGACCCTGGGCAAGTCATTTTTCCCTGCTTGCCTCAGTTTCTCATCTTTAAAAAAAAAATGAGCTGGAGAAGGAAATGGCAAACCACTCTAATATCTTTACCAAAACCCCCCCCAAAGGGGGTCATGAAGAGTTCGAAACAACTGAAATGACTAAATAACAATAAAGAGGTTTGAAAGGTCATGAGATCAGACTAAATATTTAGTCTCTATCTTGTTGGAGACTTTACCTGGAACTCTCCAATTCCCCTTATAACCTTTAAACCTATGATTTTCATTAATCCACAGTCTGTCACAATTTCCCCTCTATGATAAAAAGCATGCATTGGTGAAATGGTTGGACAGGTTGAGAGACTACAAGGTAAAACAGTGTCTTATCAGCACTGTGCTCTAACCCGAGGTTCAGCAAACTATAGTTCACGAGCCAAATTCACCACCTATTTTGTTGGGGATGGGGTGGGGGGTTATCTCAGCTAAGAATAATTTTTAGATTTCAAAGTAATGTTGAATTGTATTTTAAAATGTAATAATAAAGAAATTCTACCTCAAGAGTAGGCCAAATTGGGCCCAAGGGCCATAGTTTGCTTATTCTTCCTTTAACCAACTCTGCTGAACAGGTGGAAACTATATATTTCAGTACACCACTATTACCTTGGTGGTCTGAAAGAACAATTTCCAGTTGTCCCCAATTTTCCAAAATGGTCTTTCTTAATAGGAAACTATGATCAGTGCAATAATAGGGTATCAATAGCAGTATATCTGAAAAGATCAGTCAGATCAATAGACAAACTATTTTTCCCCAATGCAATTAAATTCAAATCAACGAGCAATAATTAAGTAACTGCTATGTATAATGCACTGTGCTAGGCACTGGGAATACAAAAGCAAAGTGAAAAATAGTTCTTGTCCTCAGGGAACTTACCTTCTACTGAAGCATAGTTATACTTGTATTCATGACTATCATACATGAGCCAGAGGAGTGACTCTAATGGTAGAACTCTCAGGCCTTGTAGTAGAAGGGTAGGGTAAAATTTAGGGCCTGGTCAGCAAATTACAACAGGAAAAAATCTCCTATACCTCCTATTTACAGGACTGACTCTATAAGAACATAACAGGATCTGAAATATTGGCCTGTCAATCTGTCACTCTATTCCCAGGTCTATCAGTGGCTATTCTTAATTCCCATTTCTCTTTACCTGTTGAGAGGAAACCATAGTGAAAACATAGAAGGGTAACTAAAAATCCTTTATGGCCAAATTTGGGGGATATCAGAAAATGATCTTCCTTCTTTGATGGATCTGCTAGGCTGTCCCTATTCCACATGAAAGTGTACAAGCAGCTGAATCCAACAATCATCAATAAAAGCAACAGCGCTCTGAAGTAACAGGCTGTCCATATGCCAGTCAATAAATATTTGTTAAGCACCTACTGTGGGCCAGACATTTTGCTAACTCTGGGAACGCAAAGAAAGCTAAAAGACACTACCTCTTCTCCAGGAGTTCACAGTCTGATACAGGACAAGAACATAATAGTGGCTTGACCAACCATTAGGTTTTCCTGGTATGAAGAATCAAAAACTTATTTGGTAGATTTTATTATTATTATTAATTATAAAATTTGTCTATTATAATTATGTAATAATAATGACAAATAATGACAAATAATAATGACAAAAATGACAAATAATGACAAATTTACATACTGCTTTAAGATTTGTAAAGTGCTTTATATAAATTACTTCATTTGATGAAGAAATATTTCATCTGAAAATGAAGAAAATTATTTCATTTGATGGGAGGTGGGGAGAAGAGGGTAAGTTCTTATAGCTTTGGGTTTCTGCTTGTTTTGCTTCATTTGTCCTTCTCAGTTTCAGGTGCTAGTTACAATCCTCACTGGACCCAGGAGTTTGAGCTAGGGATATCTTAAAACCAGGATTCCAGATGAGATGTTCCCATTAGAGAAACCCAGAGAAGCCAGAATACCTGAGACTTGGGCGGAAGGTGGTAATTTTGGCTTGGAACTTGGGACTCTGCTCAATAGGAACCTAGCTAAACTGTGAACCTAATCTCTTTCTCCTCCTTAGAAACTAAATTGGGATGGGGTGGAATTATGACTCCCCCATGTTGTGTGGAGTATGTTTGTATATTTGTGATTATACTTTTGAAGTAAATATTTCTTTGCACACTTTGTACAAAAAAAGTACTATGGGTAGTTAAATGGAACTGCAATGTAGGAGACCCACTGCTATAATCAGGGGAACACCATTACTGGTGCCTGGAGTCATTTGCAGAGCACCTATACATCTCCAGAAGTGGCTTTAAGGGTACCACAGGACCCTGGGGGGAGATGGAAGACTCAACATACCTGACCTTCAGGCAGTGGGGGCTATAGTAATCAGTGTTACAGTGAGATACGCCATATAGGTCTGCCCACATCATTGTTCTGCTCAAAAAATCTTCAGTGATTTCCTATTATCTGTTGATTCTACTGTCTGCTGTTGAATTGAATTACTGATGTCAGGAGAGGTTCATCAGACCACTGCTGCCTTACTGACTGGATTTCAGAAACTGGAGATGTCTTCTAATGATTAGCTGACACTAGGGGGCCAGACTCTCACAGGAAGTCATCCCTCCCATACACACACACACACACACACACACACACACACACACACATATATACATTGTGGAAATAGAGAACAATTCGGTCTTGAATCTCCAGACCAGATTTTAGCAAAAGGGCAGGGGAGGACAATTCTCCTTCATCTTATCTTTGGCCCAGGAGCAGTTAATGCAAATGGGGAGGAAATTCACCTGGTAAGCTACCTGTGCTCAAACATGGATCCTAAGAGTGTACTTTGCCAGTCTTGGAGGTTACCTTATGGATAATAACTAACTTCGAAGGTTCTGAAAAAATAATGATAATAGCATAATTTATATAGCACTTTAAGGTTTGCAAAGCATTTTAGAAGTATTAATTCATATGATCCTCACAACAACTTTGTAAGGTAGATGCTATCATTAGCCCCATTTATGAAAAGGGAAACTGAGTCTGAGTGGTTAAATGATTTGCCCAGAGCTATAAAATTAGTAAGTATTAGAGGCAGGATTTAAACTTCTATACTCCTGACTCCAAGGTCAGCATTCTAGCCACTATACCACATAGCTAGCCAAGATGAAAAGACCCTGCATTCAAGAGTTAGTCACCAGCCTTCTAGAAGGAGCAGATTTTTCTCAATAGCCCCAGTTCTTAAAGAAGGAAAAAGGATCATCTGTCACTAGAGAACTAAAATCACAACAAGGGGTACTCACTACTCTTTCATCTATTCTGTATGTATATTTTATACCTATTTATGTAAATATTTTCTCTCCATTAGAGGGCAGGTACTATGTTTGCTTTTTCTTTGTATCTTTCTTTGTATTCCCAACACTTGGCATACCATGTGCTTAATAAATGCTTTTTTCATTTATTGATTAATTGATTGACATGTAACCAGGAAAGGAAGTGGATTGTTAATGCAGAAAATAAAAACAGATGGATAACCTGATTGTGCATGTAATGTCAAGGACATTTTAACAATTCAGAGGAATGTAAATGGACAGAAATCGTACAAAATGAGGCTTAGAAAAAAATTATTTACACTAATAGACTTAATTAGATCAAAGTACTATCTCAGGGCATAAATTCCTTGAAGAAAGGGTTGGTAGAAATGCCACATGGAGAATGAAATACCTCATCATATGAATGACAAATGAACACATTCTTCTGCAACATTGTACCCAAACTCATAGTACAAAGAGCCCAGGTACACTATGGTTGATTTTTTTTTTACCCTCTTGGCTCATTGGCTCATCCAAGAAAGTCAGGAAAATGCACACATGGTAAATGTCTCCACCTTCCTTTCCTCAGTGTATTGAGGTGAAATTTGCACTTTTAAGTACACAGTTCACAATATTATAAATTAAATTTTTGGTGAGAGGTCAAAGAAAGAAAACTCACAGCAGAGCATTTCCCAAATAAAGGCCCCTCCAATATGTAACCCTCTCCCAAAGATGTATCTAGCATCTAAGTCATTTGCAGACACAACTGGACAGGATGGAAGCATATTTCTCATGGACTTCTGCTCCGCTCCCAGTGAGGACCTCAGAGGTCACTTCTCACTCCACCATTTCCCTCTATGGGGAAATCAGGTGTTACTTTCCATTGGCTCTGTAGCTCCTGGTTTGTCCTTGGACATAATCTCTCTTTGCTCACCACAAAAGGACATGTTTGCAGCGCATCTGTGCGTTACAGTTCTAGAGACTGAAATGCTGATCTGGGGTGTTCTTTCCTTTGGACCATTCCCCTTTGCTAACATCACTACTGACCCTGACCTCACAAAAGTTTGACTCAGGGGCAGGAATGTCACTGCTCTCCATTTCCAAGTAGACCCCATTCACTAATAATGTATTTAACTCCAATGATTATAAATCTGGATGTCCTGTCCACCTGAAATACTTAGGAGATGTCACCTGTTCAAGTCAGCATTCGCCACTTATTTAGAGTGGAAAAAGCACTCCAATTTCTCCAAAATCCTGTCTTAAAATGTGAAGAATATCTCTAGGTTAACTAGATAGGATTCTTCAAATCATCGAGATGTTTGGAAAGGAAAAACACTCCCAGAGACCAAGTACATTTCCAAATATTTTCTGTTGGCATTGATGTTGTGTAGGAGATATATCCAAAGACACCTTTTTTCCTCCTTCCTCCCTCACCCCCAAGCAAGTTAGGCTAGTTTTTCCTTAAAGAGTATTAAAACTATCCTCTCAGTTTGATTGATTCAGAGTTCTAGGGCTTAAGACTTTGATGTAACTTCCTGAGCTCCTGGGCTTCTGGGCTCAAAAAAAATCAAGATTCAAAGGTCTGTGTCTTCCTTCCAGCTTAAAAGCATAGGCTAACAGCATGTTGTGTTTGGATGAATCAGTGCTTTATGCTAACTTCCATTCCCTGTTCTGAATGTCCTTTCCCTGCTCTGGCCTAAGTAGACTTTCTTTTCTTTACTGCTGGATTATGAGCATTTGGTTTCATTCCAATTTTGGACCTAAGTACTAGAAGACTGGCCTGTGTCAGTCTCAGTCCATCACAGATATAAAAATTACATATCTGTGAGCTCAAAAACTCATTCTCTCACCATTCACAAAAGCACCTACTTTTCCAATAGTTTTCATTTCCCAGAAAGATTGCAAACTTGAGGAGTACAATGTGGGGACTGAGGCAACAGGGGAAGTCTTGAGTGAAGGAGTCAGGGAGAAGGGAAAAAGTGAAACCAGTCATAAGAAAAAGAATCGTAGTACCTTCTTCCATTTTCCTTGGAGGCATTTTATTCTAGGAGCAGTCTACTTCTCTTCCATCTAGGAGTTCATGAAATCCTATAAAATATTACTGCATTAAAAGGAGATAACAGTGTATATTATTATTTTCATCACCTCCTCCATCTCCCAGATTTCAAAACTCCTCAAAAACACTAATGCTATCTTCTATCAAACAAAGAGGCCTAGTATTATTTGCCAACTGACACAATCAATAGCAACATGATGAATGAATAAATGAAAATGCATTTATTAAGCATTGTGAGCATTTCTCTTATTGTTCATCAATTGGAACATCTTTTTTATGCTTATTGGTAGCTTGCCTTTTCCCTTTTGATCATTTATCTGTTAGGGAATAGCTCTACTTCTTAACTATATTTGCATCAGTTCTCTACATAACTTGAATACTAGACCTTTTTTTTCGGAAATTTGTTGCAAATTTTTCTCAATAAATTATTTCCCTTCTAAGTCTAACTACAGTGATTTTTGCTTGTGCAAAAGCTTTCCAATATTATATAATCAAAATTATACATTTTTCAGATAATCTCTATCCTTCATTTAATTAAGAAATCCTTTCTTCTCCATAGTTGTAAAAGGTATCTTTTTTCCCTTTTCCCCTAATTTGTTGATGATGATATGACTTTAATATTTAAATCATTTTGAGAATCATGTCATTGCCTTTTTCACACAAGAAATATCAACCCAAACCAGTAAAAAAAAATCTATTTGATATTAGCTGTGTGACTTTAAGCAAGTAATTTATGAGCTATGTGACTGCGACAGGTAGATGGCCTGGTAGATAGAGATTGGCCTTGTACTAAGAAAGGTTTGAATTCAAATCTTGCCTCAGAAAGTTATTAGCAATGGGACTCTGGGAAATTCACTTAACCTACATTTGCCTCAGTTTTCTGACCCATAAAATAGGGATAATAATAGTACCTACCCCCAAAAAGTATGGTGAGGAAAAAATGAAATAATGTTTGTGAAATGCTTTGTAAACTTTAAAGCATTTTATAAATGCTAACTATTTTTTAAGCTTTCTGGTTCTTAGTTTCTTCATCTGTAAAATGAGAATGAAATTTATAAGACCATAAAGAATTATTTTGAAGATTATTGTTGTTGAGTTGTTTCAGTTATGTCCGACTCTTTGTGACTCCATTTGGGGACAGATAAAGAAACTGAGGCAAACAGGGTTAAGCAATTTGCCCAAGGTCATAAGCTACTAAGTGTCGTAGGAACTTAGGAAGATAAGTCTTCTTCTCTCCTAGCTGCCTGTTGTGAAGACATTATCCTGTAAATGAAGTAATAAGTAAATATAAAATATCATTCTTATTATTTTCTTTTTACTTACACTAAGAACTGACAAACTTCCATGAAATACTGAGAATATTTCTCTTTTTAAAATTATTCAAATTCTACAGAAAGGTTTACACCCCACATCTACTTCCTTTTATATATATATAGAGAGAGAGAGAGAGTGTGTGTGTGTGTGTGTGTGTGTGTATAGTGTGTGTGTGTGTGTGTGTGTGTGTGTATATATATATATATGCTACTATGATTATAGTAATACATGTGAATCCCCTTTTGCCTGAGCAGAGATTACATTTTGCCTCTTTTTGTATCTCCAGTACTAAGCACAGTGCCTGGCAAAGAGAAGGTACTTAATAAATGCTTATTGACTGAATGACTCAGCATAGGTGTTACAGATAGATTATGCTTTAAGCAATGGCTATTATTGTCATGTTACCAGATATTAGTAAATAAGCCCATCAGTTTCCATATTGGACAACAATTTCTCATTAGATAAAGAGATTTCTGGTTTGGGCCCATTTGAGTTCTGGACCACATGAGTTTAATTTCTTATCAGATTTTTTACTTCTAAATTTAAAATAAATTCCAGAGACTTTAAAAAAAAAACCCAATGAGCATATTCTAATTTGTGCAAAAAACACATAATCATTTATTGCATACTATCTCAGCAATTGAGTCAGTAACAAAACTTCCACCTCCCAATGCTAAAAAGTTATGTTTTTAACTCTTCTTGTTCCATAAATCCTTAATTTCTCCCTATTGTAAAAGAAACATCCCCAGAATTTTCCAACTAAGTGATGCCATTGTCCATGACCGTGATTCCTATCATTGCAAAAAAATAATTGCAAAAATTCAGTAACAATGATAATAGCCTTGGGATTTCTTTCAATTTTTGCAGAAGTAATTATGACAGAGCTGATAAAAAGGATTTGTTTTTGTAGATTTATTTGTTATAGAGCTAATTTCCACAGCCTTGGGCAATGGGAGGTGGGGAGAAAAAAGGAACAAATGATATACAAAACCCTAAAAAAAAGCCACTGGATGAAAAAGGTGGAAAATGTGGTTTTAGGCCTTCTTGATTAAAGGTCAGGAAATGACCTGATAAGATTACAGCACAAGATTTGCTTCCAAGTCTGTGATCTTATGAGACACATTGGACTAGACTGTTCTTAGTTATCTTGGTGCACTGCTATTTTATTAAATGCCTTGAACTTTTCTTAAGTTAAGTGAAGGTTTAACAGCATGGCCAGTTAATGCATTGTCTTCTGGAGAATAGCTATTTAAAAAATAGCTCCTTGTCATTTTATTTACCAATTTATGTTTCATGTATATACACATGTATTTCATTTACCACACTGCTTTAGCAGAATTGCTGCACAAAGTAAACTAGAGATGACAGGGGCAGGCTACCAAACTCACTCAAGTTGGTGCTCACTTCCCCAAGATTTCTATGCCCCTAACCCAAAAAAGAATCACTTTCCCAAAAAATACTAGATTAACACTATTTCTGCTTCCCATAATATCCCTTACTTCTTTCTCCATTATCCCATTAGCCAATGGAAATGGGAACATGAGCAGTGAGTCATTTTTCATTTTTAAAAAAATAGCTTTTGAACTTATATTTATGTTACTTATGTTTACTGAGTACTTTCACTTTGTCTCATTTTAGCATTTTAATCCTAGTGCTGAAGGTTCTTTGATTACATCTCTTGCTAGCACCCTCTAAGGCAGAATCACTGAGACCAGCTTGAAAGTTTCTAAGTTAGTGCTGAGTCACAGAGGATTATTGCATTGTTTGTGTCTAATAGCCACATGAATGTCTGCCAAATTATTCCCTATAGGATATAAGGAGATTTTTCCTAGATTTAGAGTGCTCAGGGATGATTGAAACAGACTTAGAAACATTAAGTAAGGCTCTATGACACAGTGTCAGTCCTGGAACCAGCCTAGCTTTTCTGGCATATTTTGCCACAAGAGACATGAGTTTGCGTTCAAGGATGGTGGCAACAAAGAATCCAGGGCTCAAGAGTTCTTTGGCTAATGAATCATTTTCATTTTAATTCAAAGGTTTTCTTTAGCAAATTGGAATTCAGGAGTTAGCAACATCATAAGACATAGAGAATGTAATACTTTAGTCTGTCTTAGCATCTCATAAGTGAAGAAGGAATGAGCATTTCCATTAAAACCATAGAAGTCAAAAGTAGGTCCCCAATGGTAGAACATACTGTATTAGTTAGAATTTATAACATGTAGTTAGAACATATAGTAATTAGAATTTGCTACCTCTATAATTTTATTCCCAATGTCTGGTTAACTCAGATGGACAAAGCCAATGAGGCCAAGGTCATGCATTGGACTGAGTCCTAGTTTTGTTCTACAATCACCAGCCAAAGCCTCCATAGTTTCACTCCTTTATGCTATTTCTTACAAGCAGGATGGGATAAGAGAGTGTGAATGGATGAATATAAATCCATCATCTAAGATAGAAGGGGGGAAATAACCAGTTCAACCTACTAATGGTGGGTCACAAATATTACCATTATTATATTAAGTTGACATTTTTTATACTCACTTGAAAATGAGAGGTGGCATGGCATAGCAGATAGAACACTGGATTGGGCATCAAGAAGACCAGGGTTAAAATCCTTCCTCAGACAGTTACTACCTGTGAGATCCTGGGCAAGTCATTCAATCTTTCTGAGTCTCAGTTTCCTCATCTGTGAAATAGGGATGATGATAGCACCTGCCTTATTGTAAAGTGCTTTGCAAACCTTAAATATCTTTAGAAATATAGGCTATTATTATCACCTTAGAGAGCTTAGTTTCCAGTAAAGTCCAAACATCAGATAAAGTCATCAAAAGAATCTTCAGAAAGAGAGAGCATCTTCTATCCTAGAAAAAAAAATCATTAAAGAAGGTTAAGTAATAAGTACAAGGAAAGCTCACCAGTCACAAGCTGTTTTCTCTTCTTTATACTTATATTTAGCAACTCTCTCTCTCACCAGAGATAGGTAGAATAATGAATGAAAAGAGTTTTCTTCTTATCTGGACTGAAGGATAGGTGGCCATTTACTTAAAGCTACTTAAAGGAATTAAATAGGTGTGATCACAGTCACTTTTGAATTCAAATGGCATGTCTTCTAGAGGTGCCAATGTCTTAAAACTAAATGGAGAAACCAAGAATTGGGGTCAAAACTAGAGTTTGGAGAAAAGGTCAGAAATATGTTGGGGGGGCACTAAGAGCTGAGACAGGAAGTGGGTCAGGAGCACCTCAACTGTTTGTCTCAGGTAGCTGGTTCCCACCTTAACTTAGAGTTAATGCTATGATTAGCAAGCAAGCTATTTATAAGGACTATTTTTATTGGAAACTTTATAGAATCTTGAGTCACGATAGGTTTCATATTCTCATGTCTTGTTGGGTGTGATAATGAACAAGATGGTGCTTAGATAAATAGATAGAAAGGTAGATAGATCGACAGAGAAATAAGTAGACAGACAGATGGACAGACAAACAGATAGACAGGTTAGATAGATAGATAGATAGATAGATAGATAGATAGATAGATAGATAGATAGATAGATAGATAGATAGATAGATAGATAGATAGATAGATGGATAGATGGATAGATGGATGGATGGATGGATGGATGGATGGATGGATGGATGGATGGATGGATAGATAGATAGATAGATAGATAGATAGATAGATAGGTGGATGGATAGACAGACAGATAGATAGATGGGTGGGTGGATGGATGGATAACTGGATAGATAGATGATCCAAAGAAAAAGAAAAGAAAAAACCAAGAAAAGGTAAAGAGAAACCAAGAACAGGGTCTTTAGACATAATTTTATTTTACACTATTTTATCTCCATGAAAGGCAGCATGGCATTATGTACAGAAAGCCAGCCTCAAAGTCAAGACCTGGATTCAAAGCCTGTCCTCCACCACCCTGCCTCCATAATGGTTGTGTAAACCTGGGCAAGTTACCTAACCTCTCATGTCCTCCCTAAGACTGAGAATTGTAGAGAAAGTTCTGACTTGCATTGATAGAGGGAATTTCCTCAACCATTAGTTCTCTGTACCAGTGAAATCACAGGTCCAATTCCTCTGCCTAATTTATTTCTAGATCACATTTTCATGGTAATCCTACCAAAGAAAGTTTGTAAAAATATGATCTTAGTTTAGAGGATAAAAGGTAAAACAATGACTTTTTTTTTCCTAAGAAGCATGATTCCATCAAGTCTCCTGTGCCTAGAATGTTCTCCCTCCTCACTTCTGCCACTTAGAATCCCTAACCTCCTTCAAGGCTTAACTCAAATGCCACCTTCTTCAGGAGGCCTTACCTAGTCTCACCAGCTACCAGGGCTTTTCTCTCTAAGGTTATCTTCCATTAACTCAATATGTATTTTTTCATATGCCTCTTTACATACAAGTTTTCTCCCTCATAGAAAGTAAGCTCCTTGAGAAAAAAAATTGTTTTCACTTCTTATTTGAATCTCCAGGGCTTAGGAAAGGGACTAGAACATATTCAATGCTCAACAAATACTTGTTCTGTAACAACAAGCAGGTGGGCATTTCTCTGAAGCACAGCCCTGTGATGATGTGAGCTTTGGAGGGATACTTGATTCCTAATTGGTTGAGAGACCTCTGAGCCCTCATTATAGTGTAAGTATAGAAAGAGGCTTTAGAAGGGAGTTCAAGAGAGATAGGTGAGAGGAAGGGCATGAATGAACATTTCAATGGTGGATGGAAGATCATATCAGAGCCACAGATATATGGGGAAGCCAGCCTACCTGATGTGTCCCTTGATTTCCAGCACCTGCATTCACCCTTCTCCACCAAAGACTGATACAAATATACTCTTCTGGTGAGATTGTTCCATATTTGGTTGAACTGAGATTTTATCTCACTCTCAAAGAACTCTTCTGTATTCTTTCATCTGCTCTAACCTATATAATTTTACTGATTTCAAATGTTTGTTATTTGTTTAGAAAAATGGATTTCCTTACCATCTGATTTGTGTGTGTGTGTGTGTGTGTGCGCGTGCGCACGTGTGTGTGTGTATGGGTATCAAGCATTTGGTGGGAGGGAGCTAAGCTGGCAAGAGTAAGCATTACCAGTTCTTTTGAGTGAACACAGAAAGTGACTTTTGTTCTGAACCCTACAAGAGATCATTACTCTACTAGACTGCAAATATTTGAGTTATAGTAGACATGTATCATTCTAGTTCAATATCCTGTTAGAGGCAGACAAGTGAATGAGGGAGTGCCCCCTTCCTGCTCCTCCAAAAGTCAAGGATCACCATCTCCCTTGGAGACTGGGTACACCAGGTCAGATAAACTATTAATGCTTGAATGCTATATGTCTCCCAACTGTATGTATTTTAGATCACTAACTTCTTATATTACACTTGATGACTGACTAACTGATGGACTGATCAATAAGTAGAAATATACAGCTTTAGACCTGAATGGTTTGTTATTAGTCAATTATTCTAATCCTTCATTTTATAGAAGAGAAAACTTAGATTACATTTATGAATTTTGAATTAGCTATCACTCTCACTTTTAAAGTAGTAGACAAATAAATGTAAAAAATTTTTAAAAGTAAGTGACATTTTTTTTGGTGAGGTAATTAGGGTTAAATGACTTGCCCAGAGTCACACAGCTAGTGATATGTGTCTGAGGCTGGTTTTGAATTCAGGTCCTCCTGATTCCAGGGCCAGTACTCTATCTACTGCACCACCTAGCTGCCCCAGTAAATGACATTTTCAAGAAGAAAATGGGGGAAAAAAACATACACTAGACCCAGACTAGTGCTAGAATATTATAGAGAGGCAGGATGATGTGGTTTAGAGGACCAACCTTAAAGTCATGAAGACCTGAGTTTAAATCTTATTTCTGGGCAAGTACTGAGTTAGTGACACTGGGCAAGTAATTTTCCATGATTTAGGCAACTCTAAAACTATAAGTTGCCTACTAATTGTGGACAGTAGAAGATCCCCTGTTCCTTAGACCCACAAAATCACAAGTCTGGACAAATGGAAAAGTAAGAAATTTAGAGTTGGAAAGAACTTTAGAGGCTGCCTTGTCCAACTCCATCTTGTCATCTCATTCATTTGAAGAATTCCCAATAAATTCCACTCATCAACACAAATTAGCAATTAGTCTATAATTTATAGTCCTAGTTATCAGGAAGATTGGAAAGTTAAATGGCTTGCCCATTGTCACAAAGCTAGCATGTGTTAGAGTTAAGATTTGAATTCAAGTCTTCGTGATTTCAAGGCCTGTCCTCTATTTGCTATGGCATATTACCTCTCTGAATAGAGATAGCAAAAAAAAAAAAATAGGATCTTACATTTGGAGGTAAGTGGGATCAAAAAGGTCATCTAATCTAAGACATTCATTTAACCTTAGGAAATTTAGGAAATTGAGGCCCAGAAATATTAGATGATTTGGACAGTATCAAATAGGTAGTAAGAAACAAAGCCAGAATTTGAACACAGGTCCTTTGACTCCAAATCCAGAGCTCTTTTCACTATTCCTTTAATATTATAGTCCAAAACAATCTTTCTGGTTTTAGGTCCCTCTCTGAGACTCATAGAGCTGACTTTATAGTAAGCTGCTTCTGCTCTGGACCCAATCCTTTCTTCTTCTTCAAAACTCTCACCCCATTCTAGTCTGGAAACTTTTACATCCCATATTTATATAGCCAGGGCCTCACTGATCAATCCCTAGCATCTCCCTACCTATAACATTAGAGATGGGAAACTAATCAGACACATTCTAATAAGGACTCTTCCTCCTCCTTGCAAACTCCATGACCTTTGGCTATATTATCAATTTTGCCTGGTATGGAGTAGATAAAGGGCTAAAGTATCACACATATTGACTAGGAAGAGAAGTGGACAGCTGATGAAAACTTGGTGCAGAAAACTAGGCCAACCCCTCCTAACAATCTTTGCTGACCTCATCCCTCTTTCTGATGTGGCCCAAAGTCCATTTCATCCAAAACCCAGTAACACACACACACACACACACACACACACACACACACACACACACACACACACACATCCCTTCTTCTTTCCCCCATCTTTTCCTCCTCCTCCTTCCGTGATTGAGACCAGTTGTATCCACCTTCTTCTGATCACTGAGACCTACCACGATTCTCTATCCTAAAGCCTTATTCCCTTTCCCCAAAGTCTCTGACTCTTCGTGTCTTACTCTAAGCCTTGATTCTTCCCTCATATGAGTTTAAACACCCCATAATAAAGGCTTAAAACTTAGCTCATTCCTGGCTTATCTCTCTCTTTTGTGAAAGTTTCCTCCAAGTCCCAAAACCACTCAAACAGGATAGGACAGGATGATATTGCCATCAAGTTATGGTGGGGGAAGAGGTTCTCTCAAGGCATCAAAATAATAGAAAGGCTTCTATGAGTAGTTCCCTTCACTTTGAAAGATAAAAGTGGAAAGAAAACAATAATAGTTGCAATTTGATTAACAACAGTCTCAGAGTGTCACAGAGGGGAAACAAAGGTTTTGGGGTGAGCAAAGAAGGAAACCAGAGAAATGATTTGATTTGGAGAAAAGGAAAAGAGGGAGAAGACAAAATGATATTCCTATTTACAAATGTGACAAAAGAAAAAGAGAAACATTGAAGTTATAGGCTTAAACAAAATAACTGAAAATTGGATCTGTTAACCTGTATGAAAAGAACTAAGTGGAAAATTGAAGAATTAGTTTTTATTCAAAGATTTGTATATCATTTGCAAACATTAATTGTACTCTATGGTATAAATAACATAAACCCAAAATGCAGAAAGGCAGAAATTTTAAATATATTTTTATATACCATAACACTATAAAATGGTAATCAAATCTTATCAAAAGATTCACAGACAAGTAGAGAATTTACTAAGTAATACTTGGGTAAAAACCAAGTTATAGAAATAATAAGACATATTAAAGATAATGACAAAAGCAATAAAGCATATCAACATTAATGAGACAGAACCAAGAGAAATGTGTGTCCCTGAACTTTTATATTAGCAATAACCAATAGAAATCTGACATCTACAATCCTATAAGCCAAATTAAAGAGTAAGAGCCATTTACTAGTAAGAGGTCGAAGGGTATTCTCAGCTCAAGAAATAAAAACTATCAATGTCCATTTAAAAAGTGTTCAAATATACTAATAATCAAAGACATGCTGATTAAGGCAACTCTTAAATTCACCTCATACCCTTTAAATTTGCCAAGATAGTAAAAGAACATAAATTCAAAGCTTGTGTGGTTCTGGGAAAGCTGACAATCATATCTATAGCTGGAAGAGCTGTGAATTGTTTCAGTCCTTTCATAGAATAATATTTAATTATACTGTAAAAGTTTGAAAACTATTCATAAACTGTAATCCAATTATCTCACAATTAGGCTTATATATTAAGGAACTTATTGACGGGGAAAAAAAATAAAGATGTGCAAGAATATTCATATTACCACAAACTGGAAATGAAACTTTCATCCTAATGATTGGGGAATAGTTGGATAAATTATAGCATATCAATGTAATAAAATATTATTGCATGATAGGAAAAGACGAATATGAAGAATTCAAAGAAACATGGGAAGACATATGAAGTGATATGAAATGAAGGCAGAAGAACCACAAAAACCAATATGTATGCTGACTACAACTATACAAATAAAGCCAATACCAAGAGCAACAAAATTCATATTTAATATATGAACAATTTTGTTACTATCTTGTTAAAATGAATACACTCAGCTTTTTACATGTAAATAATCATTAAATAACAGCAGAATATAGTTACATATACAACCACCTAAATGATTTTTTTTTAATTCTACCCATAGATGGAAATCAAAATAACTTGTTGGGTTTTTTTAATTAAAAAAAAAGCACTAGCATGTATGGTGAAATATCCAGTTTTGTTACTTTCAAGCCATACTTCTAAACCATTTGTTAAAGATAATCAATTTAAATCGGTCACTGTTTGACAATAGGGAGGTCCTCTAAATGAAAAGGACCTAACCTTAAAGTGGATTTACAAAAAAGAAAGAAAGAAAGGTAGTGTAGACTCCTTAGCCCACTCTCCCTGGCTAAGATCTCTGTACAAGGATTTCCTGAAGGACAAAAACACTATATTCTGAATCACTAAACTAGCTTTCTGATATTTGCCAGCTCTTGACTATGTCAGTGAGCACTTAGAGATCCTCAGAGGAAAGGTGGTATATTTCACTAAAATGTTCCACCAACAAGTAATGTGCATTCATTTTATACAGCTGAGACTTCAGGAGATCCCAGGGAGTGGTAGAGCTAGGAAAAAAAAAACTAAGACTTCAAATTCTGGGGCTTATGTTCTTATCACACTTTATGGCATACTCTTTCATGATCTCCTTAACAATGATAATGATGGGGGCAGCTAGGTGGTGCAGTGGATAGAGCACTGGCCCTGGATTCAGGAGGACCTGAGTTCACATCCAACCTCAGACACATAGCATTTACTAGCTGTGTGACCCTGGGCAGGTCACTTAATCCCATTGCCTAATCAAAAAGAAAATGAGGACTATGATAATGATGATGATAAAGATGATAATCATGTCAAATATTAAAGTATTTGAATGAGCATAAATGTAATAAGGAGACTGGCCAATGATGGCCCAGTCCTTGGAACATTAACAATATTCTCCACCTGCTAACAATTTATGTGGAGGCTTGGTGAACCTACTTATGGAAACATATGATAAGAGAGCCTTATCCTTCCCAGCTACAGAGCATGAGCAGGTATGCTCTGGCTGTGTCCTGTCATCAGGGTTTACTAATGACAACAAAACACTTCTTAATTTGGCTAGAACACTGTGTATACAAAGGCTCAAACAGATGAAATCTTCCTCTTTTTCCTGGTGATGAGAGCAGAAACTACTGTGGACCTCCAAATAGAGAAGGAGCCTGGAGCCCTTTTTCCCCACCTGGAAGCCATGTGGCCATGAATACATGGCACCACCATTTCTTCCGTGTCTGTTGTGTTTCTTCCTACTTTTAAGTGAATGAGTACTGAAGATGGGACGAACCAGATTTCAACCTTATGAACTTCAAAAGGCTGAAAACTGGTGCATCCTATCTCTGATATTCATTCGCCTAGGATTAGGAAAGAATAAATACAATAGAGAGAATAAACAGAAATAACATGCATTCATAGCCACATGGAAGTCAAATGGGGAACTAAAGCAGCTGTGGCAGTAGGCAGTATTGCCATTGCTACCTTTCTCCCCTCCCCTACCTGGAGACTTATAGATATTTTTGTCTTGCTGGCCAGCAGGGAAATGAGATCTTGCCTGTTCAGTATTTTTGTATGTATGCTAAATTGCAACAACCAATTAAATTCTTTTTATCATCACACAGCAAACTGACAGATAATAGAGAACACTAATATATGTGCTTGGAGGAATAGGCTCTTTCATCATTCATTTCCAGACGCAGGCTTTGCCAAGTTTTCATGTGAAATGTTGACAGACGACATTACATATGCTTCAAGGACTGGGCCCCAAATGACCAGTCCCTTCAATACAAATAAACTTATTAAATGTGATCCAATTGTGTTTTTTGAATACAGATTGATTCCAAACTTACCTCCAGATTGGGAATAACTTGCAAGAACTTTCCAAGGATAAGCTGGTTTCTAAATTATGCCAGAATATGCTGACTTGTTGAAATATGGAATAGTAGTAATATGTTAGAGCTCTCTGGGGCCAAGTCCCCTTCACTTCTCTGATGAATGTAGTGTGCTATGAGTCAATGCTCATGGTTGATATTTAATAAATGTTTGTTGAATTAGATGAGGAGTTACTTTAGTCTACTTCAAGTTATAAAATTCAAGGAAGAAATGGGAAATTCTTTCTACCAAGAGTATAAGTATTGGCTGGGTGTGAAGAGTATAGGTGTCTAACCCCAATCTTCTCCCCACTGGTTATTCTCCTGTAAGTCAAAGGGAAAGGAGTATATTGGTTGCAGTGAAATCCAAGATTAAACAATAGCCCTCAAGATTGAACAGTAGATCACCATTGGCCAAATGACCTATTAAGATCACAAATGACCAATTGACCAATTAAGGATATTTGCTTTAATGAACTTTCTCAGCTAATTTCTGATATGACTCACTGTCATACTATTCATAATTACTTTTTAATTGGATTATGGGCTGGGGAAATTAGAAGTGGGTGCTGTTGACATAATCCTGTTCAATAACAAAAAATCAAGTGCTTACAGTAATATACTCATGCTTAGCAGTTAAACTCTTCACCCTATGCCCAGACCTGCTTTAAGATAGTCTCAATCTCTCTTTGGCTCATAGGGAACTGTCCATCTTTCTACCCTAGATGCAAACTTTTTTTTTGTGGGTAGCACAGCTAATCTCCTTGGGTTAAGGGTTTAGTAGATATGGATTTAGCCAATCTGACTCAGCTCCCATTCCTACTCTAGGAGAACTTCTTATCAGTTGTCTCAATGCATTTACTCACAAAAGTATGGAAGATTTGTGTAGTTTTTAAATCACAGTATTCAAAAAGAAATGCAAACACATATTAACCTTAGTACATAAACTTGGTGCCCTGAAGGTCCTTCCCAAACCAGACAACCTATATCCCTTATCTACAGGCAAACAAAAAAAAGAACTCCACTCCTATTAAGATCTTGCGAGCATACACCCCACATCTGCTCTACTCACAGGGTCCCAAATTAGGTTAAGTACTCCATAACAAAGCTCATCTCCTACTGAATCAGGCGGTCTTTTTTTCCTCCTCTAAGGACAACTCAGTTCCTAGACTCTATCTGTAATGGAATGGATGGTAATTTGGCATCCAAGCAATCTCATCTCAAAGTGCTATAGACTGACAGTCCTCTGCTTTGACCATCTCACATTTATTTTTGTCACATAAACTCATCACTTGCACCAAGTCTGCTCATGCTCAAGGGAAACAGCATTACTATTAAAGTCTTATTACAAGAAAACACCTGCTAGATAAGGAAGAGGCTACGTCTAGACCAAGGGAAATTTTGCCTCTCTCTGTTCTTCCCTTTGAAAAGCCCCAGATGTTTCACCTTACAGCCCACTCCATCACTACCTCTGACAATTTTGTGGGCAGGGCCAATGGGATAGGGTAACTTCAATTGACAGGCAAAGAGTGGAATGGAAGCATAGACTCATATCTCACTGCATCTTGAAGACAGAAAGCTACCCTCTCCTTGACTCTGCTTATCTCATTATTTGATTTAGGACTATTGGGAACACAGAACACGTGATTTGACAATGGTAAGAGAATTTTTTTCCTTTTTATTTTTGTATGGCTAGGAGAGATTCTTTCCACATTTTATTTTGTTTTCAATCTGAATAAACTTCTTGTTTGTCTATATAATCAGTGAGAAGATTTAAAAGAATGGAATGACAACTTGGATGTCCTCCTTTAAACTCTTGATTCCCAGTATCCAGATATGTTCAATCAATATAGTCACACACAATGACATTATTATTAGGGACTAGTATCTTACATGAGAATTTCTAAAGTGATTTGATTCCACTCATTTATGTAGACTTGAAGTTTTTATTCTTTGCCCTTGGAATGTAAGCATTTATAATGTACTGCATTCAGATGATATAATAATATGTCATATTTATATCTTACTTTTCATGCAAAAGCTCAGTGTACTTCCTATAGACATTTTAAGTATAATACAGAGTTTAAGTAACTTAGAGTCAGTTTTGGTTTTGTGCTTAATGGAGCTTAGTAATTTATCTACTGTGGGATTCTACAAAGATGCAAGATCCTTTTTTGGTATGGTTGGGGATTTAGAGAGATGCTACTCTCTTACAGTAAGCCAAGCAAACATTTGTATTGAAAAATCCAAGTTTATATATGCTATTTAGCTTATTTATTGTTATTCTTATAAGAGATTTCTAGTAAGGCTAATTACTCTTTCCAACAAGACATTCCCTATGGGTTTCTTGCTGTACTAGGTTAGCAATGGACTCTAGCCTCACTCTTTGAGAGTGAGGCTGGCTACATCACTCCTTCACAGTTCTAGGGGTACCCTTGGGAGGGTTATTCTCTAATGATATCAGCTTGAATTCCTATTATAGTGCATTCTCGCCATTGTTAGTTGCCAATGGCTAGCACCCCAGTTCCATTTAAGAAATTAGTGTATGTAGCTTTTACAAAGGGATATTTGCTTCAAAGGTATAGCAAGAACAGAGGCACACACAGTGTCCCCCAATACTGGGAAGCATGATATCCCTATACCACCTTGATCCCTCGGAAAAGTAGTCTCAGACATAACACAGTTTCTATAGAGCATTGATTCCACCAAGTTTACATTCAAATACAGCATAACTACTGGATGAGTCTGCATCTTAGTTACCATTGGCCAATGACCCATTCCTAAGAACTTCAGTGCTGAAACGGCTGATCATAAAACCTGACTTTCCTGGAATTCCATCCCCAAACCTCCATTGCTTGAACTCCTGTTAGCTTGCCCTCCTGACCTATCAACATTTCCAGGGTCATCTCCATTTCTTCACCTAAAATAGGAAAGAATAAATATAAGGAGGAAAGGAATAGAGACCCATATTCATGGAGCTACCTC